AAGTTTGAGGGCTGGCAGGAGGAAGTGTTTGAGTTTCTGGGTTGGGCCCTGAGGGGCCATCAGTTTATTATGTGTGCGGTGTTCAACTTGCAGGGTTGGGCTTTTGGGGTGGGAGCCCAACACCTTGAGTTCGCTGGCCCACAGTCATGGAAATGCAGGGTTGGAGTTTCTGGATTCCGGCCGGCGCAAAAAGCTCTCGCTGACGGGCCATCAGTTGATGGTGGAAAATTGCGTAACAAAATGTGTGTACCCAGTATTTGTCCCTGGTATACCCTGGTTATTGATCCACAACCCTTCCACGACATAAAATATATAATTTTTCAATCAGTTTCAACACAAAGGCTTTTGGTTCTGACATCTTCCAATACAGCATATACAAGTATATATATGATAGACTTGGTCACTAGCACGGGCACGGCGCGCAACACGCGCACGTATTACGCCGACGGGCACGGCACGGGAGGACACAGCGAAACCACCTCTTTATGGCTTCACTGCTTCACCGCTTACATCAGGTTATTCAACATCGTTCAGGTGATCTGATTGCTACTGGCACGATGCCCAAAATTCGTCACTAAGTCTGTCTGCCTATACCGGTTCTCAGCAATTAGAAGTAGAGCAGCACACCATGAAGGAATCTTCAACCACCATGCATTTCTCTTTGTGTGGCATCCTGGTCTTACGGAAGGTGTTAGAAGACCAAAGCGATAAAGCGCCCGAAAATATTCCAAAGGGTTCGGATAAGGGAGGTTTCCCCGAAAAAACGCGAGTTCAAAACCGCTGGGGTGAACTGGGCCGAACGTCTTTGCGACTATATACAAGGTTTGATTGTCAAGTTTCCGTCTGATTTCATTTCATGAAACTGAATGCATCACGCACCTTGTCTCTTGCGAGTGCATGGAGTAGCGAGTGTGGTCTCAGGCCACAGACCGAAGGCTTTGTGCGAAGGCTCTGCTCGAAAAGCTTCAAAGTCACTTAGTGAAAGAGGCGCTCAAACAACAAGGGCTGGGTGGGTGGGCGCTTTTCGGGTCAATGACAGGGCGCGCCCACCCACCCTTCCCTTTAAGCCAGTGGCCGAGACGAACTCTGAATGAAATCCGGGAGCTTCCTCCCTAAGCCTCAACCTGACCTTTCGATCACCTACGGCGAGCTTCAATGTCAAGGTTCCGTCTGATTTCATTTCATGAAGCTGAGTGCATCACGCACCTTTTCTCTTAAGTGCATGGGGTCCAAGACACTTTGGACTACATGAACAAAGGGCAAGGCGCACCCCGAGAAGGAAGAAAGTCGCTCATGTTTGCTTCGGTGGGAACGCTAGCGAACCAAGCTTGTGAGCTTTCAAGAGACTCGTGCTTCAAGTGAATTAAAGCCTTACCTATATCACCTTCGGCAGAACCCTTTATCAAAGAAAATCGTACGGCATCATTGTCACCGAACCACACTTGTAACCCTTGCAGAATTCTTTTGCTCCAAAAGCGCAAAGACAAAATTCCGGCGATCAACTCAAGCTCGTAGATATGGTTTCTTTGACAGCAAGCTCCCAACATCTCGAGAGTTTCTTTGTCCACGAACCAGGAAACACATTTACCAGATTCATTAGTAAGACTCCTCCCAGTCCACCTGTGGCGCTGCTTTGCTCAAAAGAGGCGTCTGAGTAGATAGATGTACCGTACCATTGTTCAAGCTTCTTGGCACTGACCCTACGTGGCTTACCAATTTCCAGCCGCTGTAGCATATAGATGAGGGCATTCACTGGCCCCTCATCCATCTTGGCTTGGGAGCCATAGGCGTGCTCAATCAACTTACTTAGGACAAAACTCTGAGCCTCCCATGAACAAAGCCATCAGCGAAACCTAGCTTGCCTCTGAGAATCAGTGCTTCATGCCTTGACAAGGTTCCTTTGTCCAGCGCAAGGCCGATCATGTCTTTCAGCTCTTGTTTGCGTTGCTCTGCGTTCTGGATTAACAATGCGCGTTCCCCTGACAATTAGAAATCGAAAACAACACCAAGGGCTTTGCACAATGAAGAAAATTCGGTCTTCTTCTTTCCTTCTCTTGCAAATTCCCATCCAGTGATCATGAATACCGTAATACTGTAATACCAATTCCATTGCATGCATGGTTGGCCGAGTCCCGAATCTCCTGCCTCCACAAGAGTACAAAGTCATCATAGAAGTTTGCATTCATCAGGAATAGGCCACGAGTTGCAATGAAGCGCAGCATCTTGGCAAACCACAGGAAACAGTAGACACTGTGGGTCACCCCAAATGGCTGAGTCACCATTTGGTACACTTCAGCACGACCCTTCTCGCGATTGTAGACGCTGAAGTAAGCATACGTCAAACGAGGCTCCTTCATGGGGATCTGGCGGTATGCACTCTTCAAGTCGGAAGGTCTTTGCCACTAAGGCGCTGTCACGCTCCTTGCCAGCACAACAGCGAAAGTATTGATTGACCAAGGCTGCCAACGTGTCTATCATGTGGAGATCAACTTTGTTGTGAGAAGTGCACGTCTCATTGATGCCACTGATCGAATAGTCGTCGATCATTCGAGTTTTGTTGCTCTGTTGTCTGTTGCAGCAGAATCACAGCATCTGATTCAAGCTCAGCCAGAGGAATGGGTCCCCTGGCACAACTCTTCACGCCTCTCCGACAGCATCAAGAGCTTTGTCACCCAAACTCTCTGTCATGCTCAGTATGGCCTCGCTCTTCAACTTTGCTCCTCTGTGCAACTGGTCAACAGTCTGCATGCAAGGCTTGTACTGCTTTTGGAAACCGGGGTGGCTTCAATCTTCCTTGCCAAAGTTGCACCTTCTTTCAACATTGTTCAACGTTCGCACCCCAGCCCTTCCAGGATTTGTTCCGTCACAAGAACACACTTGTTCGTGGTGTTCTCTTTGACATGAAGGGGGCGAAGATCTGCATCACGCTTTTCAGAACCCCTCGTCAGTTGCTCTGGTCAACCATCTTTTGCACCAGTGGGCACGATAAGAGCTCATCTGGCCATCATTCCATTCCAAGTTCCTCTCCAGCGCAACTTTTATGTCATCTAGGGACTTGATGGTCACTCAACAAAAAATGGCCTGCTTGCAAGCCTGTTGGATGAAAGAATTGTAACCCCACGGCGAGCCAAACACAACCTGGAACTTCTCACTCGCGCCTCCTCTTTCTGCAGCATTCATTCCAACCCCTTTTATTTGCGAAAGAGGCGAAAAGCGCAAAAAACGTGCAGCTTGTGGGACCTGTACGGTAACACCGTCCCGAGTTTCCAACATTATGGGTCTTGGCAACTTCTGCAATAACGAACATGGAATGCGCGACAAGGCATCGGTTTGGAAAACGGCTGTGGTTGTGAACTCAGGCACCAACTGCGGAACTTTCTTGCGCGGCTGAAGCCCACTGGAAATTTGTGCAGCTTGAGCTTTGAGGAGTGGATGGAGTTGGATCCCCTTCATGGATTGAGCTTGCAACACAAGTCCTTGCTGATGGGCTCGTTGCAACACAGTTTGCACCAAGGCGATACGCATTTTCCTTGGATACTGGGACTCCAAACTGGTAGCCCAAACCTTTTTGCCTTCCGAATTGGTTGCAAATCTCCAAAACTCGTGTTGGTGTGACTTGGCACACGCAATGTTCAACTGTCGAAATTCCGGGAACGAAGGCACTTGTCGCGGCTCCCATCATGCATACTTGAAAGTCTGCAACGAAGAGTCTGCAATTCCTCACGAGTCGCAGAAACCAGTCGGTCATCAAAAAATACGAATTCTTAAACTGGGGTTCTCGATAGTTGCTAAAATGCCAGCCTGCGCGACCTTTTGAAACAGAGAGCATGTGAAGGCGCAGAGGTCATTGGCAATCATAACGCGTCGCATCTCATTCTCCGACAGATTTAACGACCCACGGGGGGAAGTCACAGCTACGAAGCGGACAAGGGTCATTCCAACTTCTCCTAATCTCCCGGGCCCTTGAGGCCGTTCCACAAACGGGTGCAAAACGCACCCAAACAAGAAACGGCGATTCAGTCCAATGCTCCAACAAAGTGCCATCCTCATGCTTCGTGAGGTCAAGTTGAAAGATCGAACTTCTGGCTCCACGCTTGCGCTCCTTGTCAACTGCTATTGAACCTGACAGGCCACGCCGTTTAGCCGTGGCGCAAAGTATGGCACATCTACAAAAAACTTCAATCATGAAGGTCTGCTCGACATCCTGGAAGGCCATGATCTGAATTCAAAAGGAGCAGGCACAGTTCAATCCTTATGATCAGTCAGGCTGCCGGCTCCATGCACAGGCCCTGTCGCCAGCCCCTTGGGCAGCGATCTCCGGGCTTGACGGATGTGTGCTGACATCCATCTGCCGCATTGAAGGCGAAAAACAATGGTTCGCCCTGCGGTGTCTTGTGCCACTTACCAATTAGGCATCGGTGAGGAGCCACCTTTTCCTTTCCCTTTTGGCTTACCTTTCTTGCCCTTTCCTTTTTCAAACGGCTTGGCCAATGGTGCCAGGAACAGGGCGCTGTTCGGGCCAGACCTCAAGGCGAGAAGCGCCTCACCAACTGGGTATGTTCCATCGACGCGTTGCCTCACAGAATCGACGGTGCTAGAAAAAGCCTGGTCCATGCAGCACGGTCACACTGAGTCACTTGTGACAACAACGCCTTTGGAGTGATTCTACCAAAAAGTCACAGTGCTGGTCGAAACTGATGATTCATGCAAACTCCAACGCAATGCCTCGACGGATGAATGAAAAGTGAAGTTTCAACTCACTGCCGGTCACTGAGCTCAACTTGTCGTCTGGGTTCTTCAGGACGATGGATCCTCGTTCAAACGAAAGCTCTCGAGTTTGCTTGGTTCCTGGGACTTCAAAAGCTCGGCTAATGCAGACTGACGGTTCAAGGTCCTTGGTGAGATTCTGATCGCGCATTGCACTGACCTTCTCCAACAACACATGCGCTGACTCGCATTCACCCTTGATCGAAATACCAGTCAACCTATTCAGAAAAAGGAATTTTCTTAGGTTGACTATCGTCAGGTTGTTCAAAGCCTGGCCTCAAGAATGCAATGAGGTATGTCTGAGCTTCGATCGTGATCCGTTTCACCAGTGCGAGCTTGCAGCGACGCCTCCGTAGTCAGGATGGTCCTCAAGGAATTTGACACCTCATCGTTGGGCAGCTGCTTCGGAGTCTAGGGCGCGTGCTCTCTCCATAGTGCGAGAGATGCTGGCGTTGCGATATAGGGGCTCGAAGCTCTCGATTGAGAAGCTTGCAAAATCAAGCTAGGCACTGGGGTTCCAGGGGCCTGATGTTTATGACTCAGACAGAATGGCTGAGGATAGGACCCCACGGCGCATGGCTCTCGCTTTCTGTAAGTCACTCTCCGACTGTACATACCCATTTCGCGCAGTGTAAGTTACTGCACGCTTCCGTACGCATGTTCAGATCTGCCCGTTCTCAGCGCTAAGCACATCTCTTCTTTGCAGGAGTTTGGCATGGGAAGGTTTAGTTTAGCGGATTTGGTGGAATCCTGTCCCTATCTGGCTCTTCCTTGTCCGTTTCGCGATCGCTCGTAACTTCGGAAACCCCCCTAATTGTGAGTTTGCTTCCATTCGCAAATATCACCCGGATTAGTTACTAGTTGATGCCCTGCGCTCTCAAATTTGCTGCCGGCTGTGATCCTGCATGGTACCTCGGCCTCAAGATGCAGAAAAGAGTCGACCCCAAAAAATATTCACTAACATGGTCGGCTTGCATCATTTCAGCGATCCGCACTTGCCGGACTTTTGCTTTCGGCGCAGGCTTGCGAGCTAGGCCGGCACCAGGCTTTGGACATTCTTTGTCTCCGGCCCAATGGCAACTTTGGCCACTGTCAAAACAAGGGCATCGTTGTGAAGCTTTGCGAGCCGCCGGAACACCGGCATTGGAGCGGCCACCACCGCCAGCACCAGCTTTTCCAAAGCCTCTGTCTTTGCGAATCTCCTGAAGTCTGCTCTTGGCTTCTTTCATAGTCACCAAAGCTTCAGCGGCTTGTTCACGTCTTCAAGCAAGGAGGGGTCCAAGCCACTCTCTTTCGCTTGTTGAAGCTCTGTTGCCAAACATTCAGCTTCGTTTTCCATCACCTCCTCAGGCTCAAGAAGGTCAGCAGACCCATCTTCGCTGACTCCTCAACCACGGTCTCCAACACCTTGTCAGCAGGTTCAGCCTCCTCAGCTTCAGTGACACAGGCTTGAGGGGCCAAGGCATTGCTGCCGCCACTTCGCGCCGAAGACGAAAAGAGAACATCGAAGGAGACCGGCTAAAGCTTGGGTCTATCACCATGATCACTTCGACGGTGGAGGGGGTCAGACATGTGAAGCTCACGAAACAAGCGAAAACATTCACCTTCAACTGCTGAGTATTCTTCTCGACCCACCAGCACCGTTTCTAGCAACTGCTTGCGAGTCGGATCGAGTCCAAGCTTTTGGCGAAGAAACCATCCAAGTTCAGTCGAATGGATGGTCACACCTTCAGCAGCTAAGTCACCCGAGAGGGAACGAAAGCGAGCGCAGAACTCAGAAACTCTTTCACCAGAGCTTTGCTTGAGCTCGAGGTAGAATTGAGAACGAAGTTCACCTCTGTTGTCAAGAAACAACTGGTCATTTGCCTTCAAGGGCATCCAAGAGCTTGTTCAAGCCATGCAGGTAGTCAGCCGGCACGACCTCGATCATGTTATCGGTGTCGGGGTCCTCGTAGCGCTCGGCCGGCTTGTCCAGGGTGGCGAAATAATCCAGTTTGGCGCAACAGGCATCGAGCGGCAAAATTGTATTTGGCCGTGGCCTCAAGGTCACGCGACCTCACCCACCAGGTCATTCACGCCTGAACGCTCTCCAAGTCAAAGGCGAGCCATCCCACGCACCTTTGGGCCGATCTTCGGTCTGGGTAGAAACAAAGCAAAGCGAAGTCAACGGGCGCTGCGCGCACAAAGGTCCAAGAACGTCAGCTCCGCGTCACCAATGTAGAAATGCCGCTCGATCCGATCAAAAAACAAAAGCGCAGCTCAGTCAAAACGAACGGACTCGGGCGTTTTCCATGTGTGCGTAGCTATGGCTTAAGATCTGTTGGGATTGGGCCGACAAGGCCACAAGTACTGGCGGGTTCCTTCATGCATGCTCGAATCAGTCTTTGTTAAAGTATAATTCTGTTTGGAGTTCTTGTTCCAAGATACTGAAACCCTCACCCCTTCCGTACCACAACCACGTGACGGCCCCGCCCAACATGATGCAATTGGGTCCAATGATTCTCTCTGTTTTCGTGGTTGGGGATCACGCAGGCCTGGACCGCCTGCTCAATCAAGGCTTGCAGGTGCGGGTAATAACCACCCACTCCGTTCCGACGCTGTTCATGTCCATCACCGGCCAAGCGCCAATCATATGGGGCAATGAAAACATCTTTGCCAAGTTCATACCTGAGAGAACACACTTCCAGGTCAGCACGGAAGAGCATGAACACAGGAGTCAATTCATTAGTTAATTCTTTAGCATCGACCCCCTTACAACATGCGCACAGAAAACATTTAAATCGCAAGTTAAGCCATCGGTGTCTGGCCAATTTTTGGCACCAACGCAAATAAGAATTAGTTGTTGGTTTTGTTTTTTCTATTGGGTTCGTAGTGTTTGTTTGTTTGTGGCATTGCTCGCTGTGTGTTTCTTTGGTAGTTTGTTTGTGGTAAGGTTGCTAGCTGTCGCTTCCAGGCAAACTGTGGAAGAGTTAACTCTTGATGTATTTTTGTTATGGGTTGGTAGTTTTTATTTGCTGGTGGCATTGCTAGCTGTGTGTTTCTTTGGTAGTTTGTTTGTGGTAAGGTTCCTAGCTGTAGCTTCCAGACTGTGGAAACATGATTTTTTGGTGTATATATATGTTAAAAGGGTTGGTAGTTTTTGTTCGTTTGTGGCATTGGTGTTTCTGTGGTAGTTTGTTTGTGGGAAGGTTGCTAGCTGTAGCTTCCAGACTGTGGAAGAATTGACTCTGATTTTAACTGCCATCTGATCGCCCAAACCTTCTGAAGAGTAGCAGTGTGGGAAAAAGACGACAATCATGAACAGCATTCTTCCTGACACCATTCTGGAAAATAATTCCTGAGCTATATAACTCTTTTCTAGGCGTGGGTACCCACAACAAAAAAGAATTAGCTCTCGAGGTACATCCTCCCACTTGCGGGCAGGTTTCCAAAAAAAACAGGAATCAATTCCCAGACATGCCCACAGCTGAAAAAGAACCACCCCCAGAGGCAATTCACGTCAACAGGTGGTTGAAGAGTAAAGAATCCTAAAAAATTAACTCAAAAGGTAGTTCTGACTCAAGAGCTGGTTTTTTAAATTCCTGACTTAACCCAATTTCGGTCAGCACTCCTGCTGACCAAACGGGTCTTTGCAACACTGCGCTCAACCACGAAAACTGCCAAATTGGTTTGGAAACCCTTTTGCTGCGTGGAGTGTCTTGAGCATGGAGCGAAATTGATATTCGTAGAGCACGTCCTGCGCATAAGCCAATCCCACAATATACCTACCCAAGCAACGTCCTCTTGACAAAAGCCGTCAACCGGAACACCAGCAACAACCGCTCACATCGCACCAGCACAAACTGCAACAACTGCAGGAAGGATTGGTGTCATCCTGTTTTTGGTGTCAACTCTGTGTGTGTTGGTGCGGTTTTGACAACCCAGCTCCCATGTCTTCTCGCGTTCTGAAGTTCCATTGGCCCAGCCCAAGGCTCGGAGTTCCAAATCTGGCAAATTCCTGTCACGTGCGATGGGTACACAAGAATTGTGTGCAACAATTCGGATGACAAGGGAAGGTCAACAACAACAACAACAACAATAACTGCAATCAAGTCACGCATATGTGTCAGACATCGGGTCATAGGTTAGGGTCAACCGAGCTATCAGGCAATCAATCTCTTCTGGCAGCACTTGCACCTTGAAACACACACAAAATACAAACAACACGTCACGCAGCTGGTCTTGACCGTTTCCAATATTGCAAAACAAGGCGCTGGACTGACCCACACTTTCATCCAATCATCAGCCTTTTTTCTGCAGAACAAATGTGGCATGGACGCGCCATGCTCTTCTACTTCTATACCACTTCCAGTGAGGCCTGGAACAATGATCAACGGATGGTTTTGCAAGGCGAGGCTGGTGTCCAGTCCGAAAATGTATGCCAAAGCCAATTTCAATAAAGGCGGCGTTGCCATTGCACTTGAGACTGCTGGCAGCTCCTTTGTTTTTCAAATGGGCACCAACAACTTGACCCAAAATTTGCATATCACACAGGTCGCATCACACAAACCTCGCGGACAAAATGTTGCGCGTGTTGTTTAGCCCTGTGCGTGGCAAGGGGTCATGGCCACGCAGTAGCATGTCAACCACACCGCTATAGAAAAACACGCGTCAGCACATGTTGGTCCAAATACATGTGGTAATGGGTGTGACAGATTCATGAATGAGCACCAACGCGCTGAGGTAACATGCGCTGAGGTAACGTGAACTGAAAAAAGGAAAACATTGGCGCACTTCCTTTTCCTCACACAGCGACGAACAGGGGTTGTCTCATCTCAGGACACAGTTACGGGTATTTCTAGTGCACAAACTTCCCTGAGTTCTTTTTGCCCCCGCGAACGCGAAAAGTTCAGGAACTCTTGAGCAACGCGATTTTGCTGTCACCGGTGTGGCACACAATCCAATATTTATATATATATATATAACTCTATTTCTATTTTGGATCACGGCGTTTTCATTTCATTTCATGCCTGAGCGCCATCCAGCGGGCCCCTGTAGGGCACAGGCGCGTTCAAAGATTGCCGGTGCGAGGCAAATTTGACACATGAACCCTGTAATTGTGACCACCGAGGAATTGCGGCATCACCCACAATAATCCCCGAGCAAGCGAACACGCAATGCCTTTAGAAACAGCGGTGAGCCAGGTTGGGATGTCTTTTTGCCACCTTGAAACACGCCCCGCAACGTTCTTGCGCGCAGCGTTTTTGTATAAACCCTGCCGTCCACTTTGAGTTCCTGTAAGAGTGTCCTGACGTCTTCTATGTCTGTTCAGCTGGGTTCTTGTCAGGTTTGATCATGACACTCAGAGACTGTTTGCACACACATGTGAACCACACATGATGCACATGACCGCAGCGGCTTTTACAAGCCAAACGGAGGTAGACAAGGACCGCCTCTGTGTTTGACATGGTAGCGGAGCACAGCGATTGACCCTTGTGGTCATGAGGGCGCAGATCTCGACGCCATGGCAGCTTTGGGCGATCATGACGATCGCATGCACCATGGAAAAGTGCCAGTGTGATCCTGAGCTGGCAACCTCGATCGAGCCCAACGTCACGACAGGGCATCAGGATTTGAATTCGATGGAGCAAGGCTGAAAGCTACATCCTCGACGCCTTGGAGTACAAGATCGAGCGCTGAGCCTACATCCTGGACACCCGAGATCACGATCTTCCTGGTGGACTATGTGGAGCACTTCGACATGCTGGAGCTGGAGAAGCAGTGGCTGGCAAGAAGGTGAGGCACCTATGAACTCACCTGGAGAAGAGAAAGATGAGCTTGGAGCTCACGACACCTGCGGCCTTGGGTTCGAGTTTCAGGGCAATGAAGAGAGAAAGAATGTGTCCTCAGGTGAAGTTGGACTTCACGAAGAGAAGAAAGTGGCATGCAGAAAGAGAATGAAGAGGACAAGGTGGCCACAAGTGAGGCTTCATGGAACTCACTTGATCACTTGAAGGGAGAAAGAACTATGTCCTGAAGAAGGTGAGCGAGCAGGACATCAAGAAGGCCACGATCAAGATCTCCTTGGAGGAGACTATGTGCTTGGAGCACTATGAGAGAAAGAATGAGCAAGTGATCACAATGCCACAGAAAGCCAGAACTACATCGAAAGCTTTGACGTGGAAGAGTGGAACTACAACGTCTTCAAGGAGAACCAGTTGAACGAGAGCTACAAGACTATGAGCTTGATCTCAATCGCCATCCTGAGCAGGTGGCCTGGCATGGTGATGATCTTCATGACCCTGATCACCATGGACTTCAAGAAGAAGATCCTCAACAAGGCTGGAAACCAAAGGCTGAGCGCAGAGAGTGGTTGAAAAGTAGAGTGAAAGGAAAAGATTTGAGAAGAGAAACAAGGTAGCCGCAGAAAGGGGTGGTACTTTGGACTTGACGCTGACGACACATTCCGAAGACACACTCCTCCTCCCACCAACAAGGTCTGGCGACAAGCACGCTGAGAACAGCAAAAACCCCTGACGACAGACAGACTGACGACACATTCCGAAGACCCGTTCGCCGACGACACCTTGAACCCTGACGACACACAGACACTGACGACTCCACATTCCGAAGACACATTCGCCGACGACACATTGAACCCTGACGACACAGAGACACTGACGACACATTGTGCAGACAGATTTCCTGGACAGATTTATTTTTTTAATATTTGTTCCATCCGCCAATGCTCTTGAAACAAACTGAGGCTATAAACTGTAGGCGCGCGCGCGCGCGCACCCGAGTTTAAAATAATGTGTAGTGATGTGTATTTATCGGTGAAAAAGTTTCCCCCTGTATGTATGCAGGCGGGTTTCTTTGTTTAGGGTGCTGAGGTGGAGTTCAAAACCATGCCTGGTGTATGTTCAGAGCCATTGGCCTAGGATGGCCGCTTAATGTCTCTTGAATTCTTGGAAAGATTAAAGATGCACTTTTCTTCAGAACACCTGGAGTGATGAAGAATTCTGCAGAGCAGCGCGGGGCAACGAAATCCAAGTGCCAAGCAACAAAATCCTCGTCTTTGCCAAGACTGCCACTAGCATCTCAACATGTAGATGCTGAACATCGTTCTACCTCTTTCCAAAACCTTTCGAATGATGAAAGCTCTTCCCCTGCCACAGATCAGATGTGAAACAGCCGCAGCCGGCCCCCTCAGCTCAAGCTGCTTTTCTTCAGCGAAGTGTAAGCCTTCATCAGGAGCTTTGAGGCTACTTGTTGTCGTCCTCCACCCTACTGGCCAGTCGTAAAGAGCTGGAAACCATCGGTCTTACTCTTTTGCCTTCATCAAAAACACAAAATTGCAAAGTCAAAACTACAAGTTTCACCTTTGTTGTTGTGCGGTTGAATTACCTATATGCACCGGTGTTTTCTAGAAATCTGTGGCATGATTCAAAGGCTTCCAACAACAAGATTCCAAGATTCTCTGGAAAGCAGGGGGACGGTTTCCGCCTTTTTCCCTTGCAACTCTTTTTCCAATTTCAGAAAAGACGTGGCATGTCGGACAATGTTTTGGGACCGCGCGCGCGCGCGCCGGAAGTTGAATATGGTAGAGCTGATTGCGGCGCGCGCGCGCGCGCGCGCGGACCCAAGTCTGATGGCTTCCGCGCTGAGGCTGCGCCACTTTTTGTTTTTTCAATCAAAGAGCTGGGGTTGGGCTGTTCCTTCCGTGCCCGGTTTTTTTCCAACGGGTTTTTTCCGTTTCAAGTCTTGAGTCTTATCCGTTCTGTTTCCTCCGTCTCCGGCTTTTCCCGTTTCAAGTCTTATCCGTTTCTGGTCTGTTGTTTGCGTATCCGGTTTTTTCCCGTTTCAAGTCTTTCTTTTGTTTCGGGCTGTTCCTTCCGTGTCCGGCTTTTTTCCGTTGGAATTACCGCTTCACGGAATGTGTCTTCGTCTTCGTCTTCGCGAGGGAAATCGTCTGCGCTGGGGAATTCGTCTGCGGGCGATGCGTCTTCGTTCTTCGTCTTCGCGAGGGAATTCGTCTCCGCTGCGGCATTCGTCTGCGGGCGATGCGTCTTCGTCTGCATCTTTGCCCAGGAATCGTCTTCGGTTCAGTGCATATCCATCTCAGGAAATTGTTGGCACAATTCGTCTTCGTCTGCGGGTGCAATTTTACACCCCGCCACGCGACCAGAATGAGAAAGAAGACTCTGCCGTTTGAGCCAAGTGGTGAAGAAACGCCAAGCACAAGTGTTGATGTTGTTCATGATGGTTGGAACAGCACAGCGCATGGAAGCACAACAGGTGCTGCAACACATCACACGCTTAGCAGAAGCAGCCAACACAGCAGCACAGGCAGCAACAGAGGCCACACAGGCCATGACGAAGACAGCAAGTTCTTCAACACAAGGCTGGGAGTCAGCCACAAAGATTTTGAAAAGTCCAGACACCTTCAATGGTGAAGACCCATTGTTGTTTGCAACATGGAAGCTACAGTTCGAGTCATGGCTGAGTTTGGAGACTCAAAGTTCAATGAGCTGTTAGCCAATGTGGAAAGCAGCGCAAGAGAACCAGATTGCTCAAGCTACACGCCAGAGCAAACAGCGATTGCCAACAAGTTCTTCGCACTGCTGAGTTCCTACTTGAGAAGACGATGTCTTCAGATGGCTCGAGCAAACCAACAGGCCAAAGATGGATTCAGACTTTGGTTTCAGATGTGCAGAGTATTTCTTCCTGCAACAGGCCAACGGTCCCTAGCATTGGCACAAACACCCCGACTTCAACCAGAAGCTGTCCATGATGGAGAACATCTTGCAGTTCGAGCAGTTGCTCACGCAGTATGAGCAGACGAGCAAAGAGACCTATCCCAGTGATCTCAAGACTGCGACGCTGATCAGGTGTGCACCGCAGAAGCTCAAGGAATACCTCCAACTTTCCTTGACTGACAAGTCAACATATGCTGATGTGAGAGAAGCATTGTTAGCCTATGAGAGAACATCCAAGAGCTTTTACCAAGAGCAGATCCTCAAGCAGCTGGGATCCAGTACGAGCCTCAGGAGATGAAGCCACAGCGGTGGAAGTCGATAGAGTGACTGACCTGAAAGGTAAAGGCAAAAGGCAAATACAAAGGAAAAGGGAAAGACAAAGGCAAAGGAAGCTGGTGGCAAGGAGCCTGGACCTTTGGAAGAGGCCAAGGCTATGGAAAAGGAAGAGAATAGAACCTACGATAGCTGCAATCAACAAGGACATTGGGCACGAGATTGTCCTCAGAGAGTAATTAAACCAAGTTCAGAACCAAGCATTTCAGCAACAGCAGCCGATACCACCACCTTCAGCCGCAGGTTCAGTGGCAAGTGCATCAACACAGAGCACAGTGACACATCCTCATTCAGCCTATCGCTCAACACAGTCAGCAACAACTGTTCGCAGTATGACATCGCATTTTCTGAACCAGGAGATGGACAGGTGAACATGGTGAACACGAAGTTCTACTTCCTGTGCACGGAGACCATGAATGATCTCATGACTTCATCAACAACGAGCCCAGAAGAGAAGAATGGTGCATTCTACAAATGGTTCAACCACGAGATTGACATCAACGACAAAGGACAACTTTGTGAAGGAGAAATGACTGAAGATGGCATCAAGGAACAACATGCGAAGTGGAGACCAGAAGAAGGCGAAGTGGAGACCATCATCATTGACAGCGGATCTGATGTGAGCTTACTTCCTCGAAGGTTCTACAACGTGGACAAGAA